CCAACAATGAGCAAGGGGTCCAGGCAGCGTCCTGCCCTTGTGCGCTTTTCTGTGACTCCAGTCAGTAGTCCTGCTGGTAAGCTCTGCAGTATGTTTTCTTCTTATTTTTCTCCTCCTTCAAAAAGCCAACATTTCAGGGTTAGTGAGGTGACTCAGGGTAAGGGTGCTTCAGCCAAACTTCACAATCTGAGTTCAAATCCCAGGACCCACATGATAGAAGGAGAGACCTGACTCCCACAAGTTGTTCTCTGACTTAAGCATACACACACACACACACACACACACACACACACACACACACACACACACACCAGAGAGAGAGAGAGAGACATAGACAGAGAGACAGAGAGACAGAGACACACACAGAGAGAGACAGAGACAGAGAGAGAGTAATAAATAAATGTTTTTTAAATAAATTTTTGTTTGTTTTGAGAGAGGGTCTCACTATGTCGCCATGGCTAGGCTGGACCTCACTAGGTAGACCAGACTGGCCTCAAACTGATAGATCCACCTGCCTCTGCCTCACAAATTCCAGAATTAAAGGTGCATATACCACCACCCCATCTCAATTTTTTTGTTTTGTTTTGTTTTTCTAGACTGGGTTTCTAGATAAAAACAGCCCTGGCTGTCCTGGAACTTGCCTTATAGACCAGGCTGGCCTCAACCTCATGGAGATCTGCCTGCCTCTGCCTCCCAAGTGCTGGGATCAAAGGCATGTGCCACCACCAACTGACTCAATTTTTTTTTCAATGTGGTATTTGTGTACAATTGTTAATTTAACCACTTTTTTTGAGACAGCTCTCTCTCTCTCTCTCTCTCTCTCTCTCTCTCTCTCTCTCTCTCTCTCTCAAGACCAGGCTGGCCTTGAACTCACAGAGATTCACTTACCTCTTCCTCTCAAGTGCTGCTATTAAAAAGCATGTGCCGCTATGCCCAGCTCAACCACTTTTCAACGTATTGTTTACTTATTTTTATTTTTGAGTCAGGGTCACATTTTGTAGCCCTGGTTGGAACTCACTGTGTGGATCTGGCTGGCCTCAAACTCACATCAATCCTCTTGCCTCGGCCTCCTGAGTGCTGATATTACAGGCATGCACCACCACCTTGGCTCTTCATTCCTTCTTGGAAGGCTATGACTTCTCCTTCACAAACTGCATTGGCTGCGTCTCATGAGACACTGTCACCTGAGATCCTTCTCTGGGAGTGTTCCTCCCTGTGTTCAGTGACACACTGTGCACCAGCCTCTACCACTGTGAGGGTCTGTAGTATACATTATATTAGTAAATTGTGTGTTGTTCAAGCTCATTGAAAAGTTCCCCCATTTCAGACCCATGTTTGTCTTAGAGTATCCTCCAAGGTCTAAGGATGGGCTGCCCCTAACCAATTCTGTGACCTATAGAGACACGAACAGCAAAATGACCCAAAAGTGAAGACTCTGAGCCCTTGAGAGCAGCTGGAAGGTGTCTGTGGTGGTTGGAATGTAATTGCCCCCCCTTCCCTCGTAAGCTCCTAGAGAGTGGCACTACTGGGAGGTGTGGTTTTGTTGGAGTGGGTGTGGCCTTGTTGGAGGAAGTGTGTGTCTGTGGAGGCGGGCCTTGAGGTCTCATATATGTTCAATCCATACCCAGTATTGCAGACCACTTCCTGTTCCCTGTGGGTCAAGATGTAAGAACCTCCGTTTCTTCTCCCGACCAGGCCTGCTTGAATGCCACCATGTCCCACCATGACGATAATGTACTGAACCTCTGAGCTGGAAGCCACCCTTTACAAGAGTTTTCCTTTATAAGAGTTGCCATGGTTTCTCTTCACAGCAATAGAAGCCCTAACTAAGACAGCAGCCATTCCCAACAGAGGTTACTGGTGTTGATCCCATGATGCACAAGCCCTGTGGTGGGAAGGAGCGGCTGGAAGTCCAGCCATGGACAGAAAGCTCCGTTCTGAACTCCAGCTGATGCCTCAACTTCCCCAGTCACTTCCTGCTGGACGATGTAAGAGTCTGATTTGACGACCTCCTCTGTCTATTGCTATTTGTCCTTTTACTGGAGCCTCATGTGAGGGGCCAGCTCTGTGCTGGGACTCTC